ACACACACACACACACACACACACACACACACACACACACACACACACACACAGGTTTGTTTTAATATCCTTGTAGGGCCCACCCATTGACTTCCATTCATTTTTTGGTAATTTTATATCCTAACCCTGATCATTTACCCTAAAACTAACCTAAACTCAATTCACACCTTGGTCCTAAACCCAAGCCCCACACCCAAAATCAGCCTCTGAAGTTGTGGGGCCTGGGCTTTGGACCAAGGAGCATCCGGTCCCCACAAGGCTGCATTGTCCTTAAAACTGGGCCCCACGATGTAGAAAAAACAAAGACACTTATATGTATGTACACACTTACACACACACACATATTTTTAATATATTTCCATGAATTTAGTAATATTGTACTGCCTCCAATATATGCTCAAAATAAATTAATATAAAATAAAAATTAGGCAGGAGGCGATATATGTTAAAGGTTTTTAAATATAAATGATTGATAATGTCCATATTGTGATCTGTTGTGTGTTTCTATCGTCTCACCATGGCAGAAGCAGCGACGCAGCTACGCTGAGTCCGGAGGAAACAGCCACCACATAAGCCACCAYCACATTCGGGATGAAGACCAGCATCATGATGAACGGCATGATCCACTTAAAAAGACAAAAGTGAGAAAAAAGTTAAGTCAAGTTCCTTTTTTTTGTGTTTATGTTACGAATGCTGCCATTTTAAATCCATCCACAGGGTGGTGTAAGCATTCAGAGGTTAGCACAGCTAAAAATAAAAACAGCACACTCACAGTGATGCCACAAAAAGCTGCCGTCTTCTTCCCAAATCTCTCCAGAAACCATTGCCACAGTGGGATGCTTATGACTGCAGAAACCTGAGTGGAAGCAGAAATCATAATAATATCAGGGAAAACTACTAACAGTTGAATATTTGTGGAAAATATGCAACAACGTAAACGTTTATCAATAAAAATTCCTACATAAGCATATGCAAAAACAATATCAAACACAATTTGAAGGCAAAAAATTGAATGGAAAATCAATATATTTGAACTCGGTCCGACTTGTGTTTCGGTGACTCACGAGGATGGTCAGCACGATGTTCTGGAAGTGCTCCCTCAGGTTGGCAGCGTAGGTGCAGAAGAGGACAAAGTTGCTCTGTACCAGCTGCAGGAAGCAGACAGAACACATTCAGACGTGCAGCCTTTGTCCAGTCAGCACTCAGGCTGCTAAATGAAGGCTCTGGAGAAGCTGCTGACTGGGTCGCTCTGATTTATTCCCAGTCCGAGTCTCAACACGGATCACAGCTAGCCACCTCAGCTGAGCTGATTGTAGAAAACAACGGGTCGGCTGCAAAACTTGGAAAATTCTCTAATCACTGTAAAACAGACGTGCTGAAGCTCCCGACTGGGCTTTAAGATGCTTTTAACAGCATTTATCAAATCAGCATCACTGCTGAGCTGTCAGGATGCTCAACTGTTTCCACTGACTCCATTTAGCGCTTCATGGAAACGTTTACCTGGATTGCGACCGTGATGAAGAGGAAGGCGGCGGTCAGGATGAGGTACGGCCCGTGTCTCATCACCAGGATGAAGGCCTGATGGAAAGGAACCTGCTTCTCTGTCTTTGGGGCATAGGGATCTGAAAGATGTGGAATAAATACAGTGGATAAAATAAGTATTGAACACGTCACCATTTTTCTCAGGAAATATATTACTAGAGGTGCTAATGACATGAAATTTTCACCAGATGTCGGTAACAACCCAAGTGATCCATACATACAAAGAAATCAAACCATAAATG